CATTCATCCATTTTCATTCATCAAATATTTATTCAGCATCTATTACATGCAAGACAGTGATACTACTTACAATTCAGGCATGAAGATGACTAAAGGACAAGGGCATTGGTTTGGGACTAGGATCGTTGAGTAGAAAAGCCAGGATTAAAACCCCAATATCTTAAGACTAGTACTGGGCAATTGCTGCTATTCTGGCCTCAATCTCATCTATTAAATGAATGGGTTAGAATAGGTAGTCTCTAAGGCCCAGCCATAGACTGTCAGGGCATAGACTACTATTCATAAAATTAGTGGCCCTTTTCTAGTTATTCACTTATTCTTTATCTCTTAGGCCTGTGCCTTTCCCTAGAAGTGCAGGGACTTTGTGGGTATCAGTAAAAGTATGCCATGTTAAGCTCAACTTTTTATAGTACTTCACAGCTGACAAAGCACTCAGAGGTTAAGGTAAGCAGTGCAAATATTAGTACCCCCTTTTTAAAAAATGATTAAGAGTTTATTCTGGGGAGGGGAGGGGCACTGAGGAAATTCCTCCTCGATCATCGATCATTCCCCTTTGCTGATTTCCTTCTTCCATCCTGCTCTCCTCATCTAAAGGATTCTGCTATTATGTATATCTCCTAGAAAAGTGGGTCTTGGAAAGCAGACTGGAGGGAAGAGGACATGAAGGCTCAGGGCTCTGAGGGGTGGCAGGTTAGTTCAGTGGCAAGTGTTCCAGTGGAAGAAAGAAACAGCAATCTGCCCAGTGCTCCAACTCCTGCCACTGCTTAGGTTATGGTCCCGGGCAATCTCATGGGATTTCTGGTTTTTGCTAGCGGCTCCGTAATCTCACACTTAATGGAATAGAATGTGTTCTAGAATATCCCCAGTCACTATCCATTCTCTATTCCGAAGGGAGTCAACACTGCTGGAAGCATCTTCTATTAGATAGCATGAGTTATTAGGAAAGTTTTCTGTAAAGCAAACCCAAATCTTCAACTTTGCCCATTGTTTTCAGTTCTGGCCCATGGGGAAACCAGAGTAAGTCTAATCACTCTTCCACATGAAAATCTTTCAAATATTTTAAAACAATTAGTAGGCTGCCCCTAAGTTTTCTTTCTCCTCTCTAGGCTAAATACCTCTAGTTCTTTGAACTGATTTTCATGTGGTATTATCTCCATTCCCCTTGCCATTTTGGTGGTCCTCCTATAGATGTGATCCAACTTATAAAATATCCTCTCCCGGCCATTATGCCATTCTTTATGCAATCTAAGATTATATTATCTTTGGGGTTTCCATGTCACACTCCGTCCCTCATTCCCTTTCAGAGAGATAACCCTTTTGTAATAACAAATTTTTAAAAAAGAGGGGAAAAAAGTTCAACAAAATTAGTTAACATATTGAAAAGTCTGACATTAAATGAAGTGTTGCACAACTCTTCAAAAGATGTGTTTTCTCACATCACTTCTTTGGAGTCAAATTTAATAATTAAAATTTAGCAGCATTTAATTGCATTTTTGTTGTTATTTCCATTTGGATTGTTTTCATACATTCTGTATATTGTTATCCTCATTCGGCTTACTTTACTTTGCATCAGTTCATATAAGTCTTTCTATGTGTCTCTGTCTCTGTATTCATCATTGTCATTCAACAATAGATAAGTAATCAAAGGACTTAAAAAGTTTTCAAGAGAACTGCAAATGGTTACCAGTATATGAAGGAATGCACCAAAGCACTAATAATAAGAGAAAAGTAAATCAAACTAACCCTGAGGTCTCATTGCACACCCAACAAATTGACAAACATCACAAAATGATGGGAGTTGTCAATTTGTAGGAAAGATACCATAGTGTTTTGCTGGTAGAATTATAATTTGTTCAACTGTCTTTGAAAACAATTTAGAATTATTCAAAGATAGTGACTAAAATATTCATACCCTTTTACCCAGATATTTGCTTGCTAGGCATGCCCCAAGGAGGTCAATGACAGAAAGTTCTCACATACACCAAAATATTTATAGAAGCACTTTTGTAGTAGCAAGGAGTTGGAAATAAATAGATGAGCATTGATTGAGGAAAGGCTAAGCAAATTGTAATACATACATGCCATGGAATACTACTGTGTTATACATGGTTGATATGTGCCTTAAACCCAAATATGAGACTTTATATTTTTCTTATTAAATTTCATCTTATTAGAGTTTCCAGGATCCTCAATCCTCTATAGTTTTGGTTAGTGGGTCTTACAGCCAGTTTTGTTTTGTTTTGTTTTGTTTTTTGATGAGGCAAGTGATTTGCCCAGGGTCACATAGCTAGTTAAGTGTCAAGTGTCTGAGGCCAGATTTGAACTCAGGTACTCCTGACTCCAGACTGGTGCTCATAGCCAGCTCTTACGTCAAATAATCATACCGATACTCATTTGCCATGCCTGTTCAGTACATTAAGGGTGTTTGAGCAATGCTCTACAGGTGTCAGAAAAAAGTCTTACTGTAGTACTAGACCACTAAAATTGAAAATGATACTAAGACTTTTTTGAGACACCCTGTATTTAACATGATCTTCTTGCTTTATTTTGTAATATTACACTATCTTACTCCTCTACCTTTGATTACCAAGCCCTAATGCAAAAAGTTTTTCCCAGTTTTCATCTGTGCAATGGTGTTGAGCAGAAATCCAATAACCACCAAAGTTATCTTTTATTAAACATATTCATGGCACAGTACCCCAAACTCTGGCCTTACATGGTCTATCTGATTCATATTGCCCTTACCCACAATTTTCCTTGGAAAAAATCCCATAACCTAAAGGTTTACATACATGGGAGCAAAAGAGTTCCTATGGAAGCATTCAAGGTCATAATGTATATCAGACACCAGACAGTATATATTTCGATGCACAGACAGAATATAGAGAACATAAAGGATTCAAAATGGTGCCTGAACAGTCCATACAATCATCTTTCATCTCTGATGACAGCATTGTCCTCTTAGAATCTTGTACGGTACCCTCAGATTTATGTAGGTTTTGGTTTGGACAGTCCAAAGAAGGAAAATCAATCTGAGATTGAACCTCCCTGACTCCCTTCCCCCACCAACAATTTGAGATTCCATGTTTACCACAGGGACCTATAGAGGCTTCTAGCAACAATATCATACAAAACTTAACCTCATTTCCTTTTTAGCAGGCTTAGCACACTGGTAGAACAGGGAATTCTGTAGATACAGTTTAGATTTCAGAAAATCTATGCAATGCAAAGTTCCTTATGCTATTCTTGTGGACAAGATGGAGAAATGTGGACAAGAAAACAATATTATTAAGTAGATTAGGAACTGGTTGAATAACAAAAGAAAAGTTATTTCCAAGTCTATGTCAACTTGGAAAGAAATTACCAGTAGAAAACTCATGGCATTAGAAATAACTCAATAAATTGGGATAGTACTGATCCTTCCTTCAAAGCTCCAATTGCATTATTCTTAAATAGCATACAAAAGAAAGAAAGAGCTGAGGAAATAGCAATAATCAAAATGAAAGCATTTGGGGTTGAGAGTTAAGAAACCTAGATTGTGAATTCTATCTTTGACACTACCTATGTGAATCTGAGCAAGTCACAGCCTAGTTTCCTCATTTACAAATAAGAATAATAATACTCATAATGTCTTATTAACAGGGTTGTTGTTGGGAAAGCATTTTATAAACATCTGGTCACAGTCAAAATGTGACTAGTTATTATAATTATTAATGGAGCCAGGTTATAAAATTAGAATGATGCAATGCTACATATATGATAAGGGTACCTTATATAACTTCCTTGTCCAATGCCTTCATATTATAGGTAAGGAAACTGGAAACCAGAGAAGAAAAATGGATGATGTCACATGGCTAGCTATTGGCTGATTCAAGACTAAAATTCAGGGCTCCTGGTTTTCAGTGCACTGTCCTCCATACCAAGATGACTCACTTCAATTCTAAGCACAGAAAAAATACCTAAAAAGATCTGCAGGAATTACTGGGGCAGACAGATTTAATCAGGAATTCCTGCTAAAGCAATCAAGATGAAATGAATAGTAATTATGATAATCAGTTTGTGAACTTTAATGCCATGTTCCTAATTTCAAATATTATTAAGTCCTGTACAGTGAATCAATTTGTCATTGGAAAGATAATAAAAATTCCGTGTCTATGGGGATGGGTTTTGTTTGGTAGAAAATTGAGCATTCTTTTTCATCAGTGGCCTCATTATGTTTCCTATTTCTCAAATTAAAGTACATAAATTCCATGAACTCCAAATATAGAAGCTTTTTGTAGAACACAATATATTCAATATAGCTAGGGCCACACAGAACCTTACAACCAACTGATTCAGTGGAATCATTTAAAAAAAAAACTATTTCATTAGATTATTGTAATTCAAGAGATCTAAGAAATGATTTGGTCCAACTGTATCGTGCACTAAATGAGTGTAAGTAAAGCCCCCCAGAAATGTTAAGATATACATCAGATCACACAGTAGCAAAGGTAAGATTAAGCCCCAGCTTTCCTGTTACTAGGCTGGTATCCTTTCTCTTTCACCATGCTGCCTTTCACTTTTCAAGTAGTTGTTTTGGTACGATATAGACACTGCATAAAACACCAGAATCTTCCATTCTTTTTCACTCTCCCGAAAATGCTTCAGGGACGCTTTATTGTCTCTAGGATAAAATACAAATGCCTCAGCTGGCATTTAAAATCCTTCACAGTTTGGCTCTTTTCAGGGCTTATTGCACGTCACCATCTTTCAAATGCCCTATGTTCCAGACATGGGCCTCCTTGCTGTTCCTCACAAAAGACACTCCATCTTTATACTGCCAGCATTTTCACTGATTCTTTCCTATGCCTGGAACACTCTGCCTCCTGGCTTCCCTCACTTCCCAGTTAAAATCCTATTGCCTTTGAGAAACCAGTCCTCATCCCCCTCAGTGCTGGGGGATCTCCGGCCCTCTATTAATTATCTCCAATTTATCCCGTATATAACTTGTTTGTACCTACTTGTTTGCATGCTGCCTCCCCCTTAGAGTGTGAGGTCCTTAAGAGCAGGGACTGTGTTTTGTCTTTATTGTATCTTCAGGGCTTGGTACAGTGACTGGCACATAGCAGGTGCTTAATAAATGCCTCTTGACTGACTGAGTCCCCAGCACCTAGCCTAGTGCCTGGCACAGAGCAGGTACCACTGAAAAGCTGATTGTTTGCTGCAGTCTCTCCTGCTCCTGAATTGATGGTTGATTTATTCTCTTCCTACCCCTGCTCTAACTCTTCCTCTTCCTCCTAGAGGTACCTTTCTAAAACCAACCCCAGATTTATCCATTAACTTGAACATTTTCACAAACAACTCAGTACGAAGTGTTCTGGTCTCTGGGCCAGGATATTCACAATCCAATATTGGCTCTTGAACACAGGCACTCTAGCACTTACATACCCCATGCTTTCACATTCTCTCTCTCCACTTCCTATCAATACCCTCTCATGGCTTTCATTTAAGCAAGGTGTAAATAACTACTTTGAATACTATTACTTTCAGTTGATTTGCATTTTAATAGGGATCAAAGCTTAAACTAAATAATTCCAGGCTTTATCCGGAAGGTAGGATGAAATTATGATTTTGTTTTTGGCAGTAGGAGGATTAGGGCCTCCCTGACAAATGTAATTAATAAGGTGGTTTTATTTTTTCATTTATTGTTAGTATGTTGTTTTGTGCACATCACTATTCTAGGCAGTATGGGAGATGGAAAAAACAAGAGTCACAGAATATTGAAATATCAAAAAGAAATCTCATTTTGTAGCTCAGGAAATTGAAGCTGCCCCCCTACCCAAATGATTTTTCCATGCTTACATATTTGGTTAGTGGCAGTCAGGACTAGTACTCAGTTCCCCTGAGGCCTAATCCCAGGTATTTATCTATCACATTAAATTAGACATCAGCCCCTGCTCTTAAGGAGCTCATAGCTAATTTTTTTTTTAATATTCAACAAATGGTGACATTGTGTACATTTGCCTCTGATGTCAGGGACCTATCTCTTCTTGCCTTTGTCCCATTATTTTGAGTACTCCTCAGGAACTTACTCAAATCTCTAGTCTCTCAGAGAAAAATGGTCTGGTTAAGGGTTAACTACAATAGTTTCTCTCAGAAGTACTTGTACTGAAAAGCTGTGTGGTTTGTCCTTTGTTTTCAAAGAGAACCATGACATCAGGGAGATGATGACATGACTTGCAATTGAATTCGATTTGAGTGAGGGAGGACCCAAGTCATCAACCTCACTTTCTCCTCCAGAGCCATCTGGGTCCAGTGACCAGATATCGATCAAGAGGACTGGAGATAGCCTAGGATGCAGTGGGAGACCTTGGCGTTTTTTAAGTTAAGGTCTTTTCAAATTCTCACTTTGAGTGAGGCAACATGCATTTAGTGAATAGGCCTTTTTAAGAAGTGAGTCAAGGGATGTCTCCTTTAATACAAAAAAATCAAACTGGAAGGGGAAGACCTTCAGGGTTGCTGTCCAAAAGAGAAACAGTTACTATTTACATTCACTCTGAGCCACAGGAGGGCCCAAAAAGTAACCTTTAAGTGGTACTTGGGTAGGACAGGGACCTATGGTTGTCTAATCGTTGAGAGATCCAGAGTGAATTGGGTTTAAGGCTTGGTCTTTGAGAAAGAAATCTAGTCAGTAAACCCCAAGTTAACTAGGCAGGTTTCTGCCATCAAAATTTACCTTCCTTTGGGCAGAACATTCTCAGGTAAGGGCATGATACCTGAGGAGAGGAAAGGAGAGGAGAGGAGAGGAGAGGAGGGGAGGGGAGGGAAGGGGAGGTGAGAGGAGGAGTTGCCCAACAGAAGCTGGCCATCTGGTTCCCAAGTAGGGCAGCTGGGACTGCTTACAGTTTTTAGTTTGTCCCTCATTCTCGAAGCAGGATTGCCTGGAAGAAGGCACTATTAAGCCATTGGAATTGTAGACATGACTTTACCTGGATCAGGTCTAGTTTGGCTCAGAAGGATTTTCTGGCATTTCTCAATGCTTAAAAAGGCACTTAGACTATCTTCCACCCACTTACCCGCCTATTTTCCACAGTTCGGACTGTAAGTTTGGACTGTGAGTGGGTGATTGGCTACTTTGGTCTCCATAGCTTTCTCAGAGAACCCAGAGGCGGAAGCACTACTGAACTCTATTTAACATGTAGAAAGAGCCACCCACACAGCTGTTCATATGTCCTAAAAATTCTGCTTTCAGTGCTGTGTATATGGATGCCATGAGCAAACACAGACTTTCTAAACCGGAAGACTCCTCAGGGGCCTAGTATGACAGAAATTTTTACAGCGGTCCTCCCCTTTGTCTTTGATTTAGTTGCCCTTTGAAGACACAAATTTAAGCCCTTTAAAAATGGAAATGGAGTACTCTGGGTCATTGGGAAAGAGTTTAGAAGGTAAACACAGCATTCATTTTAATCCTCTTGATGAAGGGACAGGTAGATGGTGCAATGGATAAAGTGCCAGGCCTGGAGTCAGGAAGGCTCATCTTCCTGAGTTCAAATTCAGCCTCAGACATGTAGTTTGGCTGTCCATATTGCTGTTATTGTGGCTCATTCTTCCTTCTTGAAAAGGACCAATGACTTAGAATGACTAGGTGTATGACCCTGGGCAAGTCACTTAACCCTGTTTGCCTCATTTGTAAAATGAGCTAGAGAAGGAAGTGGCAAACCACTCCAGTATATTTGCCAAAAAAAAAAACCAAACCCAAATGGGGTCATGAAGAATCAGACAGGACTGAAAATGACTGAAAAACAACAACTTGATGAAAGGGAGTTAGTTGATTGATTAGATTGGATCTCTGTAAATTTGTTGAAAGTCATTTTAAGTTCTTTATTTTAAAGAGGTGAAATTTTCTTATTTTTATTTTATTTTAGACTTGAACACCAAAACACAAATATAGAATAGAGGAAAGAAAAAAAATATAAACTTAAATATTGTAACTTAAATACAAAGTAAGAAAAAATAAAAATAAGCATGTCATGTGCAAAGGAGAACATAAGAGAGGATTCAAAATATGTAACAATAAATTTTCATTTCAAGAAAGCCTGTATGCTAAATACTACACATTATGTTGAGAGCTCTCCATCTTTTCTTTCCTTCCTTGAAAATTTTCCTTTGTTCTCTGTTGTGCACTTTCTACTTTGTTCTTTTTTTCCTGGCCCTTCCTCCCCACCCCCAACCCAGAAGGCTACAATTAAGTACAGATATATTTCGTATAGATACATACATACACATATACACCTATATGCATACATATATAGACATATACTTTCCCCAACAAATTCTACTCCTGATCTTTGTTTTTATGCTTGTACATATCTCTTGTTTCCTGTCGACCTGACTTCTCTACTTCACCCACTACCTTGCCCTCCTATTATTTAGCTTACAATTTATTAGCTTATTATTTAGCTGCAAGCATCTCTCCCCTATTCTCCCATTCCTATAAATCTAAACAACCTTTTATAGCCCCCATAACCTATTTCCTCACCTTCCCCTCTAGAGTTCCCTCTCTTGTCCTCTCCCCACTCCCTGTCCCCTTAACATTTCATTTCTTCTGAATTTAGAATACTTTTATACTCTTTTAGATATATACATGTTGTTCTCTTTTAAACCCATTCCTGATGAAAGTAGGTTACCAGAACTACTAGCCCTCCTCCCCATTCTAATTCCTCTGTATCAATTCTTCCTCTTGTACCTCATTTGTATAGAAGAATTACTCTTTTTAAATGTTCCTAGGTGGTTTTACTTTTTAAAGTCATATCATACCCAGGTCTACCCCAATCTTTCTTACAAACCACTCAATTACTAATGACAATCTTAGACATATGTCTTACATTTTACATATATAAAAAGTAAATTGTTTGTCCTTATTGAATCCCTTGTAATCAGTCTTTGGTATATACCTTGTGTTTCTCTTGGCTCTTATATGTTATATATTCTATTAAGTTCAGTTGGTTTTTTTTTTAAACAAAGTCTTGAAAGTCTGACAGTTGATCAAATGTCTTTTTTTTTTTCATTCAGGGTTATGCTTAACTTTGCTGGGTATGATATTTTCGGCCAGAGCCCCAGTTCTTTTGCTCTTTCATATACAGTGTTCCAAGACCTGCAGTCCTTTAGTATCTCTGCTGCTAGGTCTTGTGTGATTCTAATTTGGCACCATCATATTTAAGCTGTTTTTTTTTCTTGTTGCTTTTAATATTTTATCCTTGAGCTGGGAGTTTCAGAATTTGATTATAACATTCCTATGAGTTTTCCTGATAGGACCTCTTTCAAGTGGTGATTGATGGATTTTTTTTTGTATTGCAATTTTCCCCTCTTGTTCTAATGCTTCAGTGCAGTTTTCTTTAATTATTTCTTTTATTATTATATCAAGCTTCTTTTTTTTATCATACCTTTCAGGTGGTCCAATTATTCTTATGTTTTCTTTTCTTGATCTGTTCTCCAGATCATTTGTTTTTCTTATAAGATGTTTCACTTTTTCTATTTTTTCATTCTTCATATTTTGTTTAATTATTTCTTGATCTCTTACAACTTCATTGGCTTTGCCTTGCCAGATTCTAATTTTCAAGGTGTCATTTTCTTCCTTAGGATTCTGGATCTTTTTTTTTCTAATTGGTTGACTTTCTTTTCATAATCTTCTTGTTTTTCTTGGATTATTCTCCTTTTTTTTTAGTTTTTCCTCCATCCTCTCATTTGATTTTTCAAGTCTTTTTTAAGTTCTTCTATGAATTATTTTTGAGTAGATGACTATTTGATGTTGCTCTTTGGGGTAGAAGAGAGTTTCTTTGTTTCAATATCCTCCTCTGAAGACGAAACCCAGTCTTCTCTATTCTCATAATAACTTTCTATGGTTGGATTCTTTCTCCTTTGCCTGTGCATTTTTTTTTTTTTGGTAGCAATAGTTTAATTTTATAATCACCTCTAGCCTTGGAGTATGAGGGATGGTGCCTCTTGCCCTAGATCTTTAATTCTCCCCTCTAGCCTGGAACAAAAGCCAAACCTCCAGCCTCCTGTATGTGCTCACGCCAGGGACATCCTGCCCCACTGCTTCTATACTCACCAGGTGTGTGCTGGTTCCTTCTCACTCCCACTGCTCTCTGCAGCACAGCTGGGTTCCTCATCAGCAGAGTTCCCTTGATCTTCCCTGGCTCAGGCTCCCAACTGCCCTCACTACCTGGGGGTAAAAGTCCTGT